GCCCGGGCTCATTAGTGCAAAGAGTTCAGGAATGCCGTATAGAAACCTATGCCCTCAGGGAGCGGACGTGGGGCGCCCTGGTGCAAGGCAGGTCTCAGGACATCCGAACCTCAATGCTGAGCCAGGACAGAGTGCAAGACCCGGAAATATATAGCCCAAGGGAAAGAGAGGGACAGGAAGGACAGCAGACCGGAAACTAGGGACAGGTCAGAGAAGGAGCGCCCTCTGGCTGCAGAGGGCGTGACAGTTTCATTCCAGACACTGGTACTGCCTGCACAGGGTTTGTATGTTCTCCACTTATTGGATTGTTATTCCTCCAAATGCTCCCACAGTCCAAACACATACTGGTAGTATGTTCATATGGAAGTTCTAACATACGTTACGGCTTCTGGGAAAATTGGTCCTGGTGTGAGTTGGTGCATGTCTGTGATGAACTGGCATCCCATCCAAGGTGTACTCCACCTTGTGCCAGTTGCTAGCCAAGATAGGCTCTGGTTTCCCTGTGACCCTGAAGTAAATGAGTTAGAAAATGGATTGATGGGTCAGTACAAGAAAATCCTCATTTTTCAGTTAATTTCTAAAAAAGAAATTAACTGAAACATGCATTTTTAATTAACTACTCAGGTTGGAGCAAATCCTGGAAGTACTTATCAGTTGCCTATTATTAGGTACCAAACAAGATCACTAAATGAAACAGTTATATGACGTGATCAGCTCTCACAAGGATGATTGAGACATGTGTTTGCAGTGTCCCATGTGTGTTTGTAGGATATAACTAAGACTATGCAAATGCTTTGGTGTCATTCTGCACAGTGCACAAAGAAGTTAAAATTAACCCTGACATCCTTAAACAGTAAATGTGATTTTCTACACATTTTTCTTGGCAAAGTCTGGAAATCATTATCATGAAATGAGGACAAATTTGGGCTTCAGTGTTCAACTGGGGCAAATTAAGAATGTCATCACTGATAGGTGGGAAAGTCTGATGCTCTGATGTTATTACAGCATCAAATTATGTTTCTATCACTGGAAGCAAATTTACAAATAAATGGCAAAATGCCTTTCCTGTTCCACAATTCTGAAATATTGATATTTTCATAGACAGTGTATTATGTATTGTACTATAGTTGGCCTGAGCCTACTGTAAAGATAATAGCAATGTGATAGTGTTGTTTTTTTTTTTGCAATGAACTTCACCCTGCAAAGGGAATAGTTGTGCTTTATCGGTTTACTCCATCTTCTGGCCATTGTGCTGAATTACATTTCGTTGTCCTCGGCCAATTTCATATCAAAGACCAAAAGTTAAAAAACAAATCTGGGTTACCACCAGATGGCATTTATTTCGTAATTCTAAATATAATTTCTTAATAAAAGAAGATTAAGAGGCAGTAGCGGGCAGTACGCTGGAGTCACTGCCCTGGGTTCGAATCTACCTGTTTGTAAGGACTTGTTTTACATTGTAGCCTTTCTCCCACAGTCGAAATAAACTTTGCCCAGGTTAATCAGCAATATGGAGCCGGCTACACAAGCACCCCGTCCAGGTACCCTCGCAGTCTTGTAGTTCGATATTAACTTCTCAAAGTATTCTTTAAATTGGATCTGCTGGTCAGATTTAATTCTCAATCAAGGTCTTCAAAAAGCGACGCTTTAAATGGGCATAATTTAATTAAGAAAAAAAAAACATAGAGACCGAAGAGTTTTCCAGATGATACAATGATGAGCAGTAACACCGGTGGATCACGTGGAGAAGCTAGGGCGACTGGTAAGATAAGTTTAGTTCGGTTGCTAACAGTTACCCTTCTCTTCAGGGGATTGAGCTCGTTATCATTTTCCACCAGCACCCAAAACATCAGCGTGATTCTTCCTTGGATTCAAAATGTAAACGACAACGCCTTTTCGAGCATTATCGTTATTACTGTTTGACACTGTGCGTGCTAGGTAAACGTCCATTAACTAACTCGATTGTCGGATACAGCGATCGAAATCTATATATTGAATAAACCAGCACAATTGGAGGGAGGAGAGAAAAGCATTAGCCTTATTTACTGTTAGTGAATAGCACAGTAGTAATAATCATTAGGACATGCAAAAGTGTAACTTTACAGAGAGGTCTGGAAACCTGATCTCTTCGATACAGGAAGGGTCCCAGTGAGACCTGCAGCCAGTAACACATAATTGCTCTTCCAGTACTTCGGTGAAAAACGGAGGCGTCACTGCGGGATTTACTGTAAATGACAGCCCTGCAGCACAGCGTGGCTCAGCCTGCTCCTGCACAGCTGTCATTAGTACAGTAAGATGACGTCTCGCTCTTTCGGTCACATGACCAGCTCCTTACAGTAAGAACCCAATATGGCAGCAGCAGCAGCCCCAGCACTGTAACTACAGCAACATTTCCACAAATACAGCAACACAGGCACTAGATTGGCCCGTAATTACACCCTGACCGCAGGCATGAGGGAGAAACAGAAGAAGAAGAAAGGGAGGACCTGGGCAGAGGCTGCCAAAACGGTAAAATTACAGGTTTATTCAACGTTTGTTTTGCTGTTTTCACTGGCCAAGCGGCTCTGTGCTGTCTGCACTAGTGCAACTAGGTGTTTATGAGTTCATGACCCGCTGGTGCAAATGGTTTATTGCGTATAGCCAGCGCAAGGCCTTGTTGTTGCCGTTCAGGCCACGGAAGTGCATTTTCTTATCGGCTTGTTTATTCGTGCACAGTTAAGAAGCAGCGGTGGTGCTCGACAAGGTTTGCTCTGGGTCAGGAACTTTGGAGGTCCGGGGCAGGGGCTGGTTTTCTCGAGCTGTCCGTGTTTATGCGCATGACATTGACTCGATCACGTAGACAGGTTACAGGCTGGACTCGAGTGCCTGACGCCTGTCGGCTGTCGGGACCCAGAGTGTGCAAGGAGCACAGTTTTAGACTCGGTGCGTTACCGTAAACAGAGAACTTTCTTTTTCAGCGCAGCCGTCAACCTGCAAACGTCGTGCAGTTTTTTTTTTTACGAATACTGCAACAGTGCAAACGGCAGCCAAGAAGTGGTTTTTAGTCGCTGGAGCGCGAGTCCTCAATGAAATGGCAAGCAAATCTCTAAGAAATACGACTTGACGAAAATAACAAGAGCCCTCTTTTAAAACTCGTACAGTAACAGCCAATAGAAAAGTAACACATAGATTACCTGTATCTGTAGAAATATAGGTTTTGTAAAGAATCGGGACATTTAAATAGAAACCTGCAGATTATTTTTCTTAAGCAGTGGTATACAAATTACTGTCTTTACAGTAGTAGTAATTCATACCTGTTTACCGTATGAATAAAAGTAACAATGTTTAGGTAACTTTTTTAGATTGTACATTATAAACAACGTGATTATTTAATCAGGCAATCCCAGTTGTTCTTTTTTGGTAATTGAAGTGAGTGAAGTGTTTTCTCAGTTTTAATGCAGCATAATGCTTGAATATAACATGGTACTTTATCAAATTTTAAAACTTGGATCTAATATACGTAAATGCAGTTAATTAAATTTTGTTATTTTAAGTCATCAGGGCGTGCCCCTTTTTCCCTCGGCCACAGCCTTGACGCTGTGGGTATTCCACAGGTGACTTGCAAAGGCTCTTGGGAGACGGTAAGCCACAGCATCATTAGGGCACACAGCTGATGCTTAGAGATTTTGCTAGGAGACGGTTCTGATATTTAAGTGTATTCCACCCTTGCTCACCCTGGAGATTGGCATTGCTTAAAGATTAAATTCTGAAAACAGACTTTGAGTAGTAACTGCGCTCTTCTTCTTCTATCCTTGACACACTCTCAGCTTCTTTGCTCTGGAGGTTTTTCAAGTCTTAGCTGAACAGTAATGTTGATGACAATTGATCACAGAAGCAGAAAAGTCCGATCCAAAGCAGTAGACAGTCCTAGTCAGGCGGATGACCGTTATGTAGTGAGAATATTAAGGCTGTGACATATACAGTAAGTCAATAAGGTTTGAAGTTACAGTTTGTCACTTACATTTGTGTTAATTTAAGAGGAGTTTTGATTGTCATTGCAAATAATCCCATAGCTCAATTGCTTTGTCACTGTTTCCCTAAGATATTTTTCTCTGTTATGTAGCTTAAAGCTTTTTGTTTTTTTTATGGTATCTGGGTATTTAGTTCCTGTACCATCTTAAGCAATGGACTGTTATTTTTTTTTAAATATTCCTTAGATAAGTAACATAGCCTTTAAACTGCTTTTTAAAAACCTGAAGCTTCCTACAAGTTTCCTCACCTACACTGTAATAGCCTAATTACAACTGAATTTGAAAACACAATTTCACATTTACAGTCAATTTCAATTACAGTCCTTTCTATTGTACAGCATATGGGATATGCACTAAATCATATGGCAGTTCCAACTTTTTAACAAATAATTTCTTTCATACGGTTAACAGTAACAGTAGTAGGCAGGAAGCTTTGGGCATAGCTGACAATTTAACTCAAAGTTAATGAAAATCTGATTCTTGTTCCAAAAATCTATTTATGAAATTGCCTTAGCATTGAACAGTTGTAATACCATCTCTGTTAATTTAATTTGACCATGATCCTGATTCCCCTTGTCATGGCTGGCATTGGGGACTGCTTTGGAGTGGAAAACAAACTGTAAAATGGATAAGGTCTAGTAATGCCATATATTTATATTTTCCAGTTTCATTGGAAGTATTTTAAAATTTGGACTTTACTGCTCATATTATAAGCTGATCCTCTGAAACCTTTGTAACTGAAACCAGAGTCCTTCTAGTGTGCTGTGTCCCCTCTAGCCCATCCATCCATTTTCTAACCACTTTTATCCTCCTGATGGTTGCAGAGGAGCCAAAGCCTATCTAGTCAAGCCAAAGGCAAGATACACTCTGGATGGGACACCGGTTCATCGCAGGGCAATCACAAACACAAACACAAACACAAACACAAACACAAACACAAACACAAACACACACACACACACACACACACACACACACACACACACACATGTTAGTCCTGATCCCCCCTCTAGTCCCTTTAGTTTAATTACATATACTGTATATGTCTTGATCATGAACATCCTAACTTGGACTGGAGCTGTTGTGCACTTAAAAGGAAGTTTATTTTTCTTTCCTGTGAAGAAGTATTTCAGTCTTTCTGCTTTGTAAATTCAGTCTACTTTTTTCATTTTGGTGTATTTTTAGTTCTCGTGAAATATATTTCACAAGGTACTTTCAATTCAACCCTGTCTCTGTAGAAAGCAAGGTAGAGCGCAGGTGGCAGTGCTATTTTGGGTTAATCTAATGCAACAGAAACTCGTTTTACTAATGGTCTATTCTGAATTTGTATGCATGTCACTGGGGATTAAAAACATTGAGAAATGTATACTTTAATTTGTCACCTAAAGAACCTTTGCAAAACACAGGAGTGGGCCTCTAAGTCATAGGCCTGCTGTTTACTAAAAAGTTTTCCATGATCATGAATCAACATGTCTGGGAACAATAGAAAAAAATGTGATTTAAGTGTTTCTAACTAGAATTATTTGTCAATACGTACTCGGGTATGGTTTGATTAGCTTTTTAGAGGACCACAGAAGTTGGTTTGCTGTTATATATGATAAATGAAATTTCTCTTTGAAGGTAAGGGAGAGTTAAAGGTAAAGCCCAACATAGCAATAAACATTCTTCTGCAAAAACTGTTAGGAAAATTATCATTAGAGATATGGAATGTTATTTGGGAACTAATTTCTGCTGCATTGCACAGAGAAGAGAGGCACTACACTGCAGTAACTGTCAAATAAGGAGAAAGCACTGAATTGAATGGACAAGGGAGCGTATTTGTTAGAGGTGCTTAAGAAGCTATAGAAGTCACCAGTGTCACATGACCAATGATTCACACTCGTCCCTTTTGATTGGCCAAAAGTAAATTGCTCCATGAAAATTCTTTTCAAAGTTGATGCCAGGTCTATTCCAGGAAATGTATTTCCTTCTTTCAGGGAATACAGATGCAGTACACATACAGGAAATATTGTATCTGGAAGCAGCATGCTAGGCTTAATCTAAAACTGGCTATGCTATGGAAAGAACTATTTCCATATCATATAGATCAAATGCAAAACCTCTGCTTATTACTCTCAAAGAGCTACCTTGCTTATTCTGTGAAGTGTTAATAACCTCGACCCTTCCAGCAATTACTGTGACAAGCAAGGCCTGTGCTATGGGCTTCTGAAAACTCAATTTGTCTGACAACAAGGGTTGAAAAAATGCTAATAATTTTCAGTATAATGAAATAGTAACATCAGCTGCATTCTTTTACTTCTCTTGATATAGCTTCCCTTACTGTCCTTTACATTTCAGCCCCAGGTGGTTACTCTTGACCTCGGAGAGCCCCAGTCCAGCAAGATTTACGGTTAAGCAAGTCATTTATCAATCTAGAAAATATCACTGAGCAGTTAAGCAGGTGAATGGTTCAATTAAGTGATTTGGAGATCACTTAGTACAAGAATTCTAATGACCATCATTCCTTAATTACCAAAGTTATCTTGAATCTAGAGGTAGACTTTACAATAATTAAATTCATACTAATTAATTTAAATAAAATAATTAATTACTTTTCATTCTTTTTATTGTTACAGCTTTAGGTGACTTAGAAGTGTCTCTTAGATTTTAGATAAAGTTTGTGACACTGGGAAGAGAAAATATTTCAAACCAAAGGAGAGAGGATGTTTGCTGAGGTCTGGGGGGGGCTATAGCAGAAATGATAGTAAAGTTTATCTTACTATGCCTAGGCAAGATGTGGATTAATGATTGAAAAGGAAGGCAGGAGAGAGAGAAAAGAGGGGAGGAAGAAGGAAGAAGGAAGAAACAAGGAGAGCAGGGAGAAGGGAGAGGAGTCCACAGGAGTTGGGACTCGAAGTGTGCGCCAGGTGAGAGCTCCTACTTCATGATCTTCCAAATCAAACCTGACTGGAGCTGAGTATTTGAACCTTGTTAGAGAGAGCATGCTATTCTGTGTTTTAGGGAACTTGAGTTTCCTGGGTAAAAGATACCCCAGTTAGAAACAATTTTTCTGATTAGGATGTATTTTATGGATAGGGATATAGCCTCTTGTTTATTTTGTGGTATCAGAGAGAGAGATTTAACTGCTGGTTGCTTTGTATTTAGTTAGAAGGCAGCTCCTCTGTTGTGTGGCCTCTGTAGGCATACTGTATTAAGAGTTTAGTGCTTAATAGCAGTATGGGGTTTTCTGGGTGACCAAAATGTTAGGCCGCTGAAATGCCTTGTTTGTTAATACTGTATATAATGTAACTTTGTGTGTTGTATGTTTTGTGTCTTGTGTAGTTTATTGTAATAAATATTTGTTTTAACCAAATGTGCCTGGGTTATTAATCCTCTCAACAAATCTGTGCCAGAGAATAAAGAATTCACGTGCCTCTAGTTATACCAGCCGCTCGGGTATATGGTTAGAAATCACGTACAAGTTGGGGGTTATGAATAATTATTTCACTTACTGACTAAGCCGCTTGGTCAATTCCTGATTTTTACCAGTTTTGTAAAATATCTGTCCAGCCCCATTTGTAACAATATAGATTTATCAACAGCCCAACTACACAGCAGGAGGAGAAGAAAGAGTTTGCTTCACTAACTAAATTAAGAAATAACTTTGAAAAAGCCAGATTGTGTAAATCTACAGTGGAATTAAGTCAAAGTAGAATTTACTCAGGACACAGGGATAAACAACCCTCTTTTTGCGATCAGTGCCATGTGATCTGTAATTATCAAGTAATCAGGACCTCTAATTTACATCTAATCAACATCTGCATTCCTCCTTCAGTGCTGTGTACCCGGATACGTATTGGAGCATTGCTTTGGAAAAACTGGTAATAAAATTAAAGAAACTGACAATTTCAAATAATTTATTTTTTAAGAAACTTCATTACATATTTAAATTCTCTCCTTTGTCAATTTAATGAAGTGGGTCCCCGAGTAGAAAATGTTTTAGGATCCTTTGGGATCAAAGTTTTACATACAGTTTTGTCTGTCTGCTAATGTTTGAACTTTGGATCTGGCTTTTGTCTTTAAAAAGTTGAATTCATGGGAGGAGTGCTACTCTTTTTGCTTTGGAAAGTGAGCCCAGTCATGACAATGGAAGACAAGAAGGGTGTGGCTTCTAGCACTGTATATTTCAACGTACAGCCAAGTGTTGTTACTGTTAATATGGTGTAATAACCTTACATATTCTGCCAATCCTCCATTACTGAGTAATTTCATTAAACTAAATCCAAGCAATTCATTTAGTCTAAAATGTAAAAGAAAAAATTGACAGCAGCTTTGTTTACCACATTGTAGTCTGATCCTGTCAGGTCTAAGATGCTAAGCAAGGCCGGACATTGCCAGTATTGAGATGGGAGATCTTCAAGGAAAACCAGGTCCAATGTCCCAGTATGGTGACCAGGGATACTGGGTATAGGAGGTTCCATCCTTCAGCTGCATCATTAAACTGAGGTCCTGAATGTTTGGTTATGAAAGGATCCTATTGCCCTTTTCAGAAGAATGGGGGTTTTACCCCCAGTATACTGGCTAAATTCAACTCTGGGTAGGTATAGTCTGAGCTCCCTAAAGTTCTTCCTTATTTCATATGATGAAATTTCTCACTGCATTACTACATTATGGAAGAGCCTAGGTAAGGAAATTCTCAGTTACCTGCTTTCATGTCTGAATTATCAGGATCATCATGATAATCAGCAGAATAAGTAAAATATGTCAGAGGAATTGTACCACATTTCAAGCTATTTAGCTGTACTTCGGCAGTGTGACATTGCTGCTACGTATCATGAAGTATAGAAAAAAAAAGTGTATTTTCTATGGCTATAGCGTGTTGTTTCACCTTGGCCTTACTGACTGTGGTGGCTGGGACATGTTCCAGTGATACAGGTAATGTTTAGTGATTTACCCCAATGCCTACAGTTAATCACAAGGACCATTTAGTGATTGCAATAATGATTTCAATTTATCTGTTTTGCAAAACACATGACAATTAGCCACAATACAAAACTATACTGACTGAAACTAAATACTAATATTGTCTATTTACACCATGTGCATTATACTGTATAATGCTGATATCCTGCAGCCAAAAATGCACATTAAACATATTTAATACATTGTACCCAAACTATATGTGGTAAGGGCACCTAGTATGACAATACCGTTTAAAGATTTAAAGAATAAAAACAGTCCAAGTCAATGTTTACTGCACACTAACAGCAGGTTTGGATATTTTCCATGAGTGAGCAGGCACTTCTTGACACATCTAATTATTAGATGTCCATCCTTAATAAACTTTGATTGTAAAAAAAAACAGTGCATTCACTCCAAATCAGAGTATCTTGTTTGATGCAAAGCATTTTTATTAAGAATGAATCATAAGAAGGACTTTTTGTTTAAAAGATCAGGTGGTGATGTGGTAACTTTGATAAAGGCTTAATATAAACACTCCCACTTCACAGTTAATGTATAAAGATGCATCCCTGACACATTGGAATAACTGTGAAATTTCAATTACAGAACGTGCCACAGCCAATTTTCCGTGAAGGGAGCATGAAGTTCATTATGAGGGCAGTATTCATAGTTGGAAGGATGAAATTCATTTAATGGAATGAAAGAAGCTATTGAAATGTTCATGTGTCATGTTGTTTCTTTGGGAGAAAGTCTAATAGAGAATCATGTGTTCTGATTCATTGAAGACATGACTGTTTTTCCTGAAGTATAAACAAATTGGAGCTTATATTACAGCACATTGTCTTCCATTCAGTATGTGCAAATCATAAAAATGTAACATGATGACTGCATTAATTGAAAGCCTTAGTTAATTTTAAATTTGTTTACTTTATTAGCCATGATTACATGCTCTTATTGCTTAGTGTGTTGGAAGAAAAAAAAGTAGTGAAAATTGCTTTAAAAATTATTTTCTGTTACCGAAAAGTGCTTTTTGGCAATTCAACTTTTGTGATTCTTTTGTTCTGTGGCACAGTGGAGCAGTGATTAACATTGCTGCCTCTCAGTACTGGGGGCCCTTGGTTGCTTTTTGCGTAGTTTGTAAGTTCTCCTTGTGTTCATGTATGTTTTCTCCAGGTGCTCTGGTTTCCTCTCACAGTTAGAGAGGTTAAGTTGGCTTCTGGAAAGTTGACCCTGGTGTGTGTATGTTTATATTTGTGTTTGTTTCCCTTTGGTGGACTGGCACTCCATCCTGGGCGATTCCTGCCTTGTGCCCATTGCTTACTGGGATAGATTCTGCGAATCTGTATTGGATAAAACACCTAGAAAATTGATGGATGCATGATTCTTTCCTTGAAGTGCAGTACATAACATATAGTATTTACCTTGCAGACAGTGTCAAAGCTTGGTTTGTCTTGCTGACCTGGACGTGCAAATGGCTTTAATGACTTTGAAAGCATGCATTTCACCTGACTCCTGTGACACGATACAACGTAAACACCAGTAAATCAGTAAAGGACAGCCCATTCAGGCTAATGTAATAATTAGAGTTGCCATATTTTCTTAGCAGATCCTTTCTATTGAAATGTCAGTTTCCCTGCAGACGTACAGCATGTCAACAAAAGAATGCTGGAGTAAGTAAATCTGATGTTACAAAGGAACACCTACAATTACTTTCAATAAAACCAACAATTTCAGCTAATTTTATGAGCAGGAAGACAGTATAATGAGCACACCATTAAATAACCACAAGTTTGTTTGTTTTTTTCAGAACATTCTAAAGGCAGTCATGTTAAGGGTTGATGGAAACCCACAGTCAGAACACATACAGTACACCTCCACTCAATCCCAGAATGCCTCAGCTGTGTCCTCAAAGGACTCTTGTCACAATCTCCACAATCTCCCAGCATCGTCTTGTGACCCTATGGGGAGAATCTGCCAATTAGTGCTAATTGCAATGGTGGCTCTGTGGCATACAGTGATCAAGAGCACTTCTTAAAGAAGGAGCTATGAAAGTCCTAAGCCCTTTTATGCTTATACATCATGACAACAATGCCTTTTTCTTTGCTGTAATTACATTATCCTCCATAATTTGGATCTTGACTTTCTGTTTTGAGAACACATTTGTATTATTCTTTTAAAAAAGAACAAAACGGCCATAAAACTAAAGTATTAAACTCATACAGTATGACAGTAATTTACTGGATTTGTCAAGAAGCAGTGTTCCATATCACTGATACAATTCATTATTTTAAAAGGAAAGAGTATCAACACAAGTATTTAAAATGTGTATTTCTACTAGACATTTTAATGCTAGTTACTTTGTGCAGATTGGGATTTTTCTTTCCTTAAAATCAAGAGTATAACAGAGTATAACCTTATGCATTACCTTCATGTGTCAAGCATTACCTTATCTTATGTATATTTAAAATACAGTATTCAATATAAAATGTTTCTTAGTTTCTAACAGAAAGATATAAAAGAGTTGGTAAAAACAAACAGAAACAAACAAAAAATATTTACCTCCCTATTTTTAGTTCACAAAAGCACACATACAGTTTTAGTTTTTATGTTTTAAATCATTCCAGGAATGTCTGATAATTTCTAATAATAACTCATAAATAACAATGATATTTTTTTGAATTAACAGTGGTGTGGTCTCATGTAGCTTTACTAGTAGGCAACATGCAAAATGCATATACAGTATCATCACAACAACTCCAGTAAAGCAGAAAAAGAAGTACTAGAAGACTTCAGGAAAAAGAATCTATCATGCTGATATTCAAAGGGGTTAGACTTACACATTTAGTAGTAGACCTGTACGAAATGTGGCTGTTTCCATACAGTTTCCTTCAATCTGTTTTCTTAAATAAAGCATTTTATTTCATTACTCTTATAAACTGCATTGTTAGGAGCCGTTTATCTATTA